CTAGTGAAATGTCTGACTCAGAGGGCTGGGACTCGGCACCCCTCTTGTCTTCGAGGACCTTCATGCTCCTAAAAAGCATGGCTGATGCCTTAGTTGTTCCCAGATATGGCCTCTCAGGCTTGATTTTTTCAAGCATTCTGGGCAAAGCCCGGTCCCAGTTTTCTGCACCTTTGGAAATTAGCTAGTCAACAGTTGTTTCCATAAGTATGCTCCGGAAAATCAAAATGACCTTTCAAAATTAATATAATCTCCAATTATCATATTACCTCAGGGAGGAAGGCCTGGTGGTACTTAATAGAGCTCTTTGGGGCTGTTGTGCATTTTAATTGAGTGAATAATTGTAAAACACTTCAGGGCCTTTTGGTAAAAGGCTCTGTATAAACATTGTCATAATGCTGAATAATCAGGTTGCGGTATGAACTGGAATAAATGAACCCTATAAACAGATATCTAATTTATATATACATACAATGTATGTGTGTATGTATGCCAGTGTTTTGGAGAGAACAAGGCAATTTATTTATAAAAGTCCTACGGTTCTCGAATAAAAAAAAAAAAAAAGAGATTGGATAGCAATAATCATAATAACCAAAATATTAGTTTTCAAGATATTGTGAACCTGCAGTTTATCCTCCTGTGCAATGCATAGAGAATTGCCAGAAGCGTTGATGGTGTTACCGCTTCGGTGCTGCTTCTTGAGCAACAGCAAAATATGCTGTGTTTTATGGTGGAGGAATGTGGAGGAGGTAGATCCAAAGTACTACACGTTTAGACACCTGAAGATGTAGATAGACACGGTTTGGAGGAACCAAGGGAGTTTCTCTTCAAATGGCTCTCCCAAGGTATTGCTGCAATGCATTGATAGGGTTTGGAATGGAGAAAGATCTCCTGCAGCCCATGTCAGTGTCCCTCCAGGCATTTTACAGATTGAGCAGTGGGAGAGACCAATGGCGAATATGGCACAGCAGTGGTGCCAGTGCCAGGTCTGTGGCTGATCTATTCTGTTACCCTGTGTGAATCAGTAACTGCTCTGTTTCTTCCGAATTCTTTGGCTGTCTGAGCTGTAATCTTCTGGGGCAGTGACTCTTTCTGTGCTTGTACTCTCTTGTTATTCAGCCCATTAAGAGGGGGAAAGCCTCTGAAATGGAGATGATGGAGATGAGCTTTTATAGTTCATACAAAAAAAAAGTCTGTGCTGGGCAACCTAGGTGCTCGTACAAATAACTCTTCTTAAAAGGAACTTGACACGGCGATGGTACCGCTTCACTTAGTGGCAGACTAATGCAGACTAAATGCAAAACTACGTAAAGCAAACTGGCATTTGAATGGCACGAGTGCTTGAAATATAAATGAGCGGGACAAGACCAGACTCTGTTTCTAAAGGAATCAATTACCAGGCATCCTCTTACTACTGTGAAGCTCTCATTTGCAGGAGCAGTCAAAGCTATTTTGCTGGGATATTTGTTGCTTGAGTTTAAGCACACCTTTTAAACGCCAAGAAGACACTGAGGAACGCTGTGGATTCAGGAGGGGGAGAAAGACTCTGAAATTGTTTTCCTTGCTGTAAACCCACTGCTGGGTTTGTGTGTAGCACTGGGGATGATCTGATTTCTCTAGAGTTGTACCCACAGCCAGAATGATTTGACAAAATGATCCATTGTGTATTAAATCAACAGATTCAAACAGTGGAGGAAATGTGTGGGCTATTCTGAATCTTAAAATAGGAATTAGGTTGACCTAAAGTTTCCTTTCTCTTCCGAACTGCTGAAAAATAGGGATCTGTAACAGAAGATGTCTTGAGTGAAGGATAATGGAATATACTGATTGCTAATGAATTTTTTAGCTCTGGAAGGTTCTCCAATGGCCTATATAAGCTGGTAGCTGAGGGGTTTTCCAGTAGGATAAGTGTCTGAGCTACCACAGAAAGCACAAATAGCCCTGTTTAGCATGTTACTGAAATCTTGGAGACAGGTCAAGGACTGAGTTTGCTGTGGAGACCCCATTAGCTTTTCCCACCCAAAGGTCCCTCCAGGTGAGGTCTGAAGCCCCTTAACTGGGTAGTGCAAGGAAACTTCCTACATTTGTTCAGAGGACAGATTTCTTTCACGTGACCATTACTTCATCGCTTTTCACAAGCTCCAGATTCACTTAAACATCATGCCTAATGCTACTGACATCTGATATCTATAGCTTCCCTTCCCATCTGCCAGGGATTTCACGCTTCTGATGAAACAGCTTTAAAATTGCAAAGACAGCCAAAATGTAGCCTAAAATCACAATGATCAAATGCTGTTGCGGGGAGTTTTTTTTTTTTTTTTTTGGTCAAAAAAATGAAGAATGGTTGTGTGTCAGAACATCACAGTATTAAAGATCAATTGTGTTTCCAATGAAATACCAACTGGCATCAATTGATGTGGGATCTTCTCTTGCACGGTGTGGTTACCCTTCAGTTGCTCTATGTTTCCACTTGTTGAGTTCACCTCTGATTTTATCTTGCTTTATTTTGGGCTTACTTGGTAAAGTAAAAGTATTTTCAGAAAATTTCATCAAATAACATGTGCCGCACTGATGTCAGCTGAGGAAATCAGCGTCAAGAGCAGGAAAAGCCAGAAGATGAATGGATCTCTTAGTTCAAAATAGGAAACAGCTTGAAGTTCCTTTGAGAGGGAAACAGAAAGCTCATTCATTAACAATGACATTATTTCACCTCTGGTACAGAGTAAGGATTCTGTTCTCCTGGTGATGGACAGACTCATCTCACATTCATGATGGCCCTGAGCATTCATGGATACAAAGGAACAGCCCTGAAATACTGACAGCTTTGACTGGTGAGCTGTGCTCATGATCAGTGCGTGGCTGAGACATATAGCACAGGGAAAAATGCAGTATTTGTGTTCCTGAACTGATTTCAGTCTGTGTAAGGTGTGTATGTCTCCCTGTCTCATCTCAGTGGGTATCAAAGTAAATCTGTGTCACTGAAGTGAAGGATATTGCCTGGATGACACAGTATTCATTTATTCATACTTTGATATGAGGATTATGTCAGATCAAGTACTCATATATTTTGTGCAGGATTTATCAGTCAGATGTATCTGGGTTTCTTGATTTTTTTTCTGGTGTTTGATAGTAGTGTACAACCATCTACCTGTTCATAGTCATGTACACAAAATTTTCTGGTTTTTATTTTTGTTTCCAATCAAACTACAAGTAGGGCAGGAGTTTGTGGTGTCCAGTTAAGAACATCTCCAGTCGCTCAGTATAACGTGGTCAGTAGGAGGTTTTCCAAGTGCCTTTATTTTCTGTTCCATTACTCCGAGTACCTTCCCTGTTTCCCCTTGGGGCCTGGAGCTGCAGCTAGCAGCCTGACTCCTACCTCATGCTATTCTGAAATTTCTTTATTTATCTTGGACTCTGTCATTTTGCCTAAACATTGGTATTTTCCAGAAATCAGCTTTTAAAATGAAGATGTCTATTAGCTTTCTGAAGTCATATGTCAGTGAATCACGGAACTGTTTAGTTTAACTAGACAGGCACTATGGTGATACACAAAAAATATTTCATTCTTCAGAGTCATGTTTATGTTCTTTTCCAATGAGCTGGCTGTTTTCTTGTGAAAAAATCTGTAAAAGAGGTAATCTGAAATAGGCACAAAATAAATTCTGTTCTGTAAGGTACCCATAGCCTTTCTAGAAGATCCTGATTAACCTCCTTACGGAAGCTCTACTGCAGTTGTAATTTTCAAACATTTCTTTTTTTTTAATAGAAACAATCCCTTTCTGATACCTATAAGCATCACCATTCACAAACCAAGCTTTTCATTACAGGATATTAGAAACAACAGTAGATTAATCAAATCCTGAAGTTCAGCAGTGGAGAACTTCCATCTATTATCGTGCTTGTCTGTAAAGATTATGCCCTGAGAACACGTGAGTGATACAAAGCATTTAGTGAGTGAAGTTCAGTCGTCACCAGGTTGGCTCCTTGTGCTGCTATAATGTTGAATTACGGCTGGACCCCAGAGCAGCAGTGATGAAAGTGCCAAGTCTTAAGGGAGATGCTGTTTTATGACTCAGTTGTGATACAGCTTCGCCGTAACCGTGTGCACATCTCCGTGCAGGGAGGGCGCAGCAGACTTCAGGACATGACACTGGTGGCCAGATCCAGGTGCCACTTTGTCTCATTTCTGCGAGTCGAACTGCAAACATTCGCTAGCAAAAGTGGAATTAAGTCCTCCAACAGAAAAGCACAGATTATCTGGTGATATTTGTATTAACACTGGATCATCTTGCCAACATTGTCCGTGAGTTTTGCAAAAGAAATGCTCTACGTGCCTGCACAGCCAGGCCAAATCCTGCTCTCAGCAGTGTGAATTCAAAATACAGGTATTTTCTGTAGTGTCTTTGCAGTCATCCTGATTTAAAATAAGAACTGTATTTGCTTTAATCATGCAGTTCCCAAGCTCAACTTTGATGAATTGCAGAAGCAGGCTCTTATCAAGTTTTTCTCTACTTTTTTTTTTTTTTTTCCTGAAAAGAGCAGGAAGTTTGCCATGCTGCAGCACAAGATGAATGAAATTGCCATTTGAGGCTAAATTTTCCAAGAAGGATTAGGATGTTTTGCAGTCCTGCAAATGTAGGAATCCTCGTTGCAAGGCCAGCATTTCTTTAGGTTCATGATCAAAGTTTGCTCTATAACTACATACAGAAAAGAGGGAAAAGGAATTTCAAATGCGAACGCTTCCAGTGCTGAACAGCAGCTACAAATTTAGGTGAAAATGATGGAAATTCCCTTGCTCATAGTCAGAAATTATTATAGGTGGTTTTGGCTCAATTTTACAGTGAATTACTATATCTCAATCCTATGTTAAAAGGTTAAAAAGAATAACCACCATCTTGTTTGTGCACAGATGTGCTAAAAGGTCACCAGTGTGACAGGAGAGAGATGTTTTCATCTGATAATGCTACCTCTTTTTGTTTTGTCTCCGTGTATTTTTCTGCTAGCTATCCATTTCCCATGGTATTCAGTAGCTGCAGTAGAAAGGACCTGGAAAACAGCCTGGAAAAAGGAGTGGGAATGTGTCTGTTTAACTTGCCTGAAGTCAAGGAGTCCTTCGGTGGCCAGAAGTGTGGGAATGGCTATGTGGAAGACGGAGAGGAGTGTGACTGCGGGGAGCCTGAGGTGAGACACCACCTGCAAATTACTGCTCACCTCCTGTCTGCAGGTTTTTAACACTAAAGAATTGGTTTTGCACGTTTAACGCTATTTGGTGTAGAACAAAACTCTCCCTTCTCTGGTTCTATCTTATCAGCTTAAACCTCAGAGCTCTGAGAAATGCGGGGTGTTTCTGCTTGACTTGCATTTGAGTTGCTAAAGTTCAGGCAGGGCTTTGGTTAAGAATGTGCTCAATTCACTGTTAGAGAACAAACTCTCTCATGGCTTGTCCAAGAGCCTAACCATGACTAACTGCTATGTTCCTAACAACAGAAATTCCTTTAGCTAATAAGCTAAACTCAAAATAAGTTTGGCAAAATAGCTCAAAATTCTTAAGATACCATATGTTAATTGAAGGTTTGCTTCCATATATGAGAAGCCACTCTTATATTAATATAAATTTAAATAGTTATATAAATATTAATATTGGCTAGAGTTTTTTTCATTGCATCCAGCTTCAGTTTTTAGGCGCAAGACCTTTCCTTCCTTCACTATGAGATTTTTCTTTGCCACTAGCCAATTACCTTACTAACAGGAATAGCCTTTACTGCCTCCCAAAAAGATGGATACTGCTTCAAAGATTGTTCCATTTAGTTCAGTGAAAGCGTCAGAGGACTGCCTGGATCAGGAGGAGATAGGCAAAACCTGTGGGTCAAATAATATCCAAGCTGACATTCTTATCCCTTTGGCATCCCATGCTCATTGACTGTATTGAACTTCTCTTAGTATATCTGAATTAAATACATCAGCAGATGAGGGATTTGTTTCCTCTGATAAATACGGTTCTGCAGACAAAATAGATCGGGGCAGTTAAAAAGCGAGATATTGCTGTATCCTGCCTATACAGGGTATTGGATTTACACAAGCCATAAGGATTTCCTGACAGTTCACTCATTCTTCAGGGTAACAAGGTTGGAGAAAGCAACCTTATCTTCTTGTTTAAAGTCAATAGAGTGCAAGCAGCTCGCAAATGTCTTTCTAACCCAGTTATCTTTCTCATTTTCACTTTTGAATGTTAGCAATACCTTTTCAGGTCAAAGGCACTTAACGTCAGCAAGCACTGACTTGATTTGCCTCTTCTTTCTATGTTTTTCCTTTTTAATTATATTGAAAAACTGCAGCTTGGGGCCAATTAAATTAATATGGAATTTACTGCTATAATCTGAGTGGTAGCAGAAAACCCGTTAAATTAGTCAATAATTCACTACCCAGTCATTTGTACGGGGCGAGTTTTGTCAATAGTGTCGCAGTATTTGATGGCACGGAAAGCTGTACAGTTACATGTGCTAGTTGTGTTTTATCAGAGCTCAGATTTAAATATCAGTCTGAATACGTAGATGTAGGTGGTGGGTAGGGATCTATGGCCTTTACTCCAAGTAAAATATTAGCCCCATGTTGAGGTCTGTGCTTACTGGCATTCCTTATCAGTAGGCCAGCAGTGGACTTGCGAGGGTGGAGAGCCATGAGAGTAGCACACCTCCCACCCTTCGGACACCTCTGGAAACGCTCATGCAGTAGGGACTGTTTGACCACCCCCATCCACACTGTGGTCTCTTGTGCATCAGGCACTGGTCATCTTCTGGAGCATAATGGATGTCGGCGTGCCTGCCACCAGGCCAAGAGTGTAAGACCTGACCAAGGATGATATTACCAATTAAGCTCCAACTTCATTCTGGATTATATTACTAAAAATGTCTGACATGCTACAGTGTCTGTGGAAGGAGGGTTAAAGTAGATTACACACAGAAATATGGAAGAAGGTGGAAAAAAAATAAAAATAAAAATCCTTGGTTCTTGAGAACTGAAAGGTGACAAATGTGGCTAATTTTCTAACAGGCTGCAAGGGGCATCAGAAAACTACAAACTGGTACATCAGAAGTCAGACAAATGACTTCCAAATGTAATTAAGAGCTAGTGCCCGAGCAGCTGTGACATGCCAGGGACGAGTCAACACAGCTTTTGTGCCAGGAAATCGTGTCTTACAAACCTATTGCAGTGCTGTGAAGGACTTAACAAGTGGATGGAAAGGGATGAGGCTATAATGGCAGCCAGTTAGGAGTCCAGGGAGGCTTTAGACCAAAGCCTTTCACCAAAGCCTCTAGCAGCTGTAGGATGAGAGAACATTGCATGGGCAAAAATTGTGTTAAAAGATAGGAAGCGCAACCAGGTATAAATCATCCGTTTTATGCAGTGGAAGGAAATCTGCTGTGATGTATCTGTGAGATGTGTCCTGGGGACTACACAATTCAGCATATTCATAAATAGCCTGGGAAGAGGAATAGTCTTGAATTTGCTGATGATATTAGTTAGGATGGTAGAGATGAAAGCTGGCTGTGAAGAACTGCAGAGGAACCTTTTGAGACAGCTGGACTGGGCATTAAGATGACAAATGGGATTCAGCGCGGAGTGATGCACATTCCAAACATCACATCTAAGATGATGGACTCTAAGCTGACTCTGACCATAGAGGAACAAGGCTTCGTATTGCAATAAATAGTCTCGTGAAAATGTCAGCTCAGTGCTCAAGAGTGGTCTAAAAGGTAAATAGGCTGTTAGGAATTACTAGGGAAGAAATAGGAAAACAAAACTAAGCACCAGTCGGCCTCCATAAATCTGCAGTGTGATGCATCTGAAACGGCATGTGCAGTTTTTTTCCTACCCCTCCCCGATCTCAGAAAGGATGAAGCAGAATGAAAAAGGTTAAAACAAAAGCAACAAGGTGGTTCAAAGTTTTGGAGGGGCTCTGGCTGGAAAAGAAGAAAGTGAAGGAGAATGCAACAGAAGCTGATAAAATCGTGACTGAAATGGAAAGAGTGAGTAAGGAGCGATTGCCCCCCGATAAGAACTGTGCAAATGAAGCTAGGAAATGGCAGGTTTCAAACATGCAGAAGGAGCTACTCCCCAGACTGTGTTTATTACTCGCAAGTTCCTTTCCACCGAATGTTCCAGGAGACAAAAATGCCCTTGGAGCCAAGGGAAAGCCCGAAGACTAGGAAGGTATCATGTATGTGCGTTCACATTCTTGTCCTTAAGCGTTTTCTGCTGGCTGCTGTCAGGGGGACACAAGGCTAGAAGGGTTACAGGCTGGCCCAGTGTGGTCTATCCTGTGTTCTTAGAAAAGCAGGGTTGAAAACAAGACATCCCATCTGCAGTATCCGACATCGCGTTGGTGATGTGAGAACTGCTGTTGTGCTAGTCTGTCTGAGACGCTCTGATGAGCTCAGGAGAACTACACCAAGAAACCCAACTCCCATCGCTGCTGTTATTGCTAATAATAATAAGCTACAGCGCGGCAGGAGTTTCAGGTGGCGGCCTCCAGCCTCTGAAAACCTTGTGAGCGTTTTTCTGTTTGCTTGCCTGTTTATGTTAGAACCATTCCTGACAATTTAATAGGGCAGGCACAAAAACTCTTTACCAAGCTCATTCCCTACGATGAGTAATAAGTGAGTGAGCAATTGGAAATTTCAAAGGCGGCAGTAGCACCATTCAAAGAG